CGTGCACCTTCATTTCCCATCCTACCAGCATAACCTTCCATTCCAGGCTTTCCATGTTCTCCAACTGCACCTTTCGGTCCTGGTTCGCCTCTCCGTCCTCGTTCACCTTGGAGACCGCTAAAGTAAAACAGGCAAATTTGTTATTTTAAATGTTAATTGAAAAATGGATGGAAATTTTCTAAGAATGTAAATAGTCTTGTTACCGTTGTCCCGGTGGCCCAGTAGGACAAAGAACACATGGAAGATCAGATTCTGGTTCCAGTTGTATGTCATAACCATCCATGCCTGGTTTTCCCTGCTTTCCCGCATCACCAGGAAAACCATCCAATCCTGAGGGACCCGGTGATCCAGGTGGTCCATACGGACACGCCAACGAATAACATCCTGAATAGTTATCGATAATAAAGAGTTCAACAATTTTCTATATGACAACTTTAAAAAGAAAATTGGCCCACCTCGGCATGCTCCAGCTTCTCCAAATGATCGTATTGTCCGATGATATGACAATTTCTTATGAAATCTTGATGGAATAATATTCCTCAAGTTGATCCATATTTCATTCGTCCTTTCCTAATTTTGATAATTAATCATTGATTAAATGATAATCAATTCAATGACAAACATCACAAATTATGGTCATCATTACAAATGAGACAGATTTAAATTAAAGCAACAGGAATATGGAAATCGAATTATCTATTTATTACTGCATTTGTTTGTTACTAAAATATCCGAAACTAACTTGAAATTTCTCGATCAGTATTTGTGTTTCCATTGTTTCATTTTCAATTTTAGCCGTAAATATTGGAATAAAAACAATCATGCAAGCAACTGTTAATGTACTTATCACAATATTTCCAATTGCAACGAAACGAAACAAATCATCATTACACATTGCGACCTTACAAAAACAAATAAAGAACAAAATTCAACAGTAAATTTTATTTCTAGATATAATATCTGAAGTAGCATCGAAATTCAAAAATTGAATCATTGAAGTGAAATCACGTTTGAAAATTTGCTTCAGTTAAGAGTTGGCTTTTTTTTCTGATTCATTATTAGATTCAGCATTAAATGCTATCATTACTTAAATAATCGTTTAAAATGTGATATAACAACGTTTGGCGCATTTCAAATAATACTGTTGTTGATGATTAATATTCGACAATGCTGGGAAAAGGATTTATTTTTATCATACTGGGAACAATGCATTCCTCAAGCTTAAGAGTTCTATCAAAATTACTTGAAATATTCTAATTATTTTATTTGGTACCATAGCTCGGACTATTGTAAATAGATTTTTTTCTTTGAAATTGAAATCTTATGCAGAATTAAAGTTATGTTTTAAATCTTAACCCAATTACGCCTTCGTTTTTCTTTTTATATGCATAATATTCCCTCATTAATATTCCGGATATTTTTCTTGAAAAAATGAAATATGAATGAGACGGAAGAAATAATCGCGCAAGAAATCTTCTTGTGAAATGAAGTAAAGACTTTAGCATTGGGCGGTGTCGAGCAAAAATTGGGCTTAATTCATTTTCAACTGATCAAAATACTCAATTTTTCACTAATTGGGTCAGTCTCCGGTTGAGCAATTTCAAATTTATTTCTTCCTTAGGAATTCATTATTTCCATTAGTGTGATTTAGTGTCCTTGACATTGATAATGAACAGAAAAAAAATTGGAACGAATAAAGAATCACAAAATTTTAATGTACAAATTTTCGGTATTGTAGCAAATCTGGACAAATGAAAATGGATTGAATTGATAATGTTTCTGAAGATATGTGCCATTTAAAATTTTAAAATAATTGCAATTCCAATAATAAAAGAATTTATCTTATATGTCCGACAAACGTGATTCTTCACTAAATTTTGTAAATTCCATCTTAATAATTATTCTTTTTATTTCGACCTCTTTCTCTTTTTAGCATCTCAGAAAAGTTAATAATTGTTTAGCAAGAATATACGATTTTGCATTGAAAAATTAGAAATTTGTTAATAAATAGTTTCAATTGTAACGGTACCAGAAAAGAGTTTAGGCAAATTTTTTAGTTCTTCATTCTAACTTATCTTCCGCAATTTTTTTTGCACATGTTTTTCGTACATGCTTTTTGCACATTTTGCACATTTTATTTTTATTCGAATTAAAGATGAAAAACATTTTTATTATTATATTTTTCAAAAAAGGAAAAAAATTAGAAACTGAGACAGAACTTTTTGCACTACTTTGCTGGAGTAGCGGGCTTCTTGATTACTGCTTTCCGAAAAAGTCATTTGAAATCTTCTATCGAATAATTCATTGTTCGCAAATTGAATTTGCGTTATCATAAAAGTGACTAAGTTAGCATCTGTTGAACGGTAAGTGATGAGTTTTTCAGAATTGTAGAAGCAATTGAAGGTAGAAATCTATTTTAAGATCAAATTTTCATTTCTTTGAAATATTTTTTTTAGTTATCTACTTAAAATAATTTCTTGAAAAAGATATTTTTAAAAGCTGTCAAATTTGTTTGCCGAATATAATAGTTCTTGAATCACTCATAAATTGCTTCGAAAAAAAATAATCTTTAAAAGTAACTTGCTAACTTGAGCAAAGAATTCTGCGTCCCAATTTGTCAAAACTCCAAATTTTTCCTTACAGATTAAGTTGTCAAGGAATATATATATAAAACTGAAAAATTTTTAATTTGTTCCATTTTAAATAAAAATTTTTATATACACAGTCAAAAGTTTGGAATAAAATAGCTTCAGAATTTTATATTGATGAAATTTTCATTGTTTTTGTCTGTTCCATTTTTGATGTACCAATGTAATTTCTCATAGGATTCTAAAATAAGTGTAAAATAATTGTACAAGCTTATAAATTATTTTTGCTGTCAGCATGCATTGTTTACACGGAAATTGCACTTGTTTACCATTATCATCATTTAATCATTATAATAATCACTATCAATAATATAATATATTGAATTGGTGTATTTAAATGCTGACTTGCTGATGTTGCTATTATATCATGTATATCTCGTCCTCTCGTAAATCGCAGCAACTCGTCGAGAAATTCCGATAATTAATCGAGGAAGAAGTTAATTGAAATACACAAAAGAGCAGTCTCGTGGGAAGGCTTAATGTGTCGCACGTTGATTGAGCCACTCTCCTAACATTTCTCCTCTCTTTCCAGATAATAATTTTAATAGCTTCAACTATTATTGATGATGATAATAATTACACGTGAAATGATAATGTGACTAAATGATTTTGGTCCTGATATCTATTGATGACGATACGATAGTGGATATAAATCGGATAATAATCATAGAGTAATCAATTCAGAAATTTTAATTGGTACATTTAATGTATTAGTAAAATGGTTCAATTAGTACATTTAATGTATTAATAAGTCGTATAATTAAATGTTTTCAAAATACATCAAAACAATTTGTTATTAACAATGAGAATGATTGATTTAATCGCAATAAGATAGTAACAATGACAAGCAATAGGAAAGCAGTGATAGCAACAATTATAGTGATAATAGATGGAAAGAATAAAAAAATCATATATGTTTCCTGAATTTGGATTCGGAGAGTTAAATAGTAAGATTGTAAACTTCAGTCAAACACCGGTTGTAAAAATTGTAAAAACGATATGTTCAAAAATGATGATAGTGAAGAGATGATGACAATAACAACGATTACGATTACGATATTAACTTTGCCAGCAAAACATCGTCGGTTTCATGTTATGATGAGTTGTATTTCTAGCAGTCGGTTCATCTTTGTGCTCTCTTCTGCACCAATACACCTTCAAGTGGCTATCGAGCCATCGACATTTCATTAATATCATCAGTGGAAAATAACAATGTATCTATGTTATTCATTGTTGCAGGACCCATCTGTGGCCTAATGGTCCAATATTAATGTCCTTTAGTCGGCACAGCACTATAAATTGATCGCAGAAGCAGAAAAGAACTTTTTTTTCAGATGTTCATGAGAGAGATTATTCAAATGGCTAGCCAAGGTCATTCACGCTTCATTAAAATCACAAATTTTCTTTCCACATGTTCAAAAATATTAGTTTTTCTCGATTGTTTGATAAGCCAAGCTTTTTAATGCATAAATTTTCAAGCTAAGGAATAAAGTTTTGGTATCTTAATTCGAATCAACATGTTGACAATTATTGTTAATTCTTCTTCAAAGATTTTTGTGACACGCAATATCCACTTTTATTGAAATGGATGTGGTTTAAAATTAAATTTCACCACTCTTTCAGAATTCTACAAATCGATTATTACCTTTTTCTCCAAACAATTTCATATTGCCATCAAAAAGTTCCTATTTGTTATCAGACACAATTGCATAACCATCCATTGTCTCATGAAACCATTTTTTTTCTCAGCAAAATATAATTTCAATGTTATCAAACAACCTTTAATGCATTTATTGCACTTTCGTTGATTACTTTGATGAGAAAAAAACTCAGTTTTCCTACTGTAGTAAAAAAAAGTGGATTTTGATGGGATAATAGTAATGCCAATGGTTGGTGTTGGTTGTTGATTACCATCGCCATCATATTTTTTCGCCAATAGCTTTCTTTGGGATAATGGATTTTAAGGAGAGAGAAAGTGAATGTATGATTGCTGAGTGGAAGGATATAGCAAAAACCATCATTTCCATATCTCTAGTAGCCTAAGCTTATCTGATTAGCCTAACCCATAACATATCCATCTCCATACATATATGATATGTGATATGTGAGAAGGAAGGAACATGCACGTATACATACTTACTTATGTAATGCATATGTGCTTTTTCGATTATCAACGCTGCAAAAGCAATAAAATACTAATGCGA